CTGGTGCAGGGGATTTGGGAGCGGAGAGCGGGGCAGGTCCTGGAGCTTTATTAGAGCCAGCTCGCTGCTAAAGAAACGTGCCAGGGCAATCCGGCAGGATATATGTAATAAGGATATGCTCGCCATTAACACAACGTCTTTTCCTTTACGTCGAGGGTGGGGCAAATCCTCGGGCAAATAAAAATAAACACATAACACAGAGGACAAAAGGAGCCGATGAAGCTGGCAAAGACGCCATTTGCTTATGCCTGCCATAATTCATACACAACAGCCCAAACGAACTAGGACAACACACGCATGCACTTGAAGAAATTCGGTGGTCATTGGGAAAATTTGTATTGTCTTTAAATTATGGGTTTACATCTAGTTTAAATTTTTAAAACTTTAAATTTTTGTATTATTGTTTTTAAAGTACACTAAAATTATGTGAAGATTTCCAAAAGATTGGCTATAACAGCTTTAAGTACTGTTATATTTAAAAATAAAAAAATGTTTTTATATTCGTCAAAGGGTATCAATGATTAAAATAATAAATTTAAAATTGTTTTAGGAACATTTTAAAACACATTTTAAAGAATTATCTCTACAAAAAATCATGCTGCGTTAAGATCCTTTATAGGAATATACAGAAATATATATATATATAACAAAATAATAATATTAGTTAACTAATATACCTATTCCTAGTTTATTTTTCAGTGCATCCAGACACAGGGCACACGCTCACATAAATAGAACAATTAAATTGAAATTGCCAGGCATATACTACACAGAGAAAACGACAATGAGACGAACGACAAGGAAACGTATCCAGAACTCGGTTATGCCACAATAATAATTCGAAGACATTTGTATAAATTTGCAATTGCATTTTATTGGCCTTCGTCCTTCCCTTTGAGTCGTAATATTTGCATATGTATAGGTGGGGTGTGTGTGCGTGTGTTTGGCATACATAATGTGCGTATTTATGGCTGGTTGCGTATACGCAACGTGGCAAATGGAGAAATCAATGCAATCAGTTCGAGAAATTGACCAAATATTGTTGCCAACACAAAGGCCTTTCGCATGATCAATTCATTAAATTAAACACAGTACCAGCACAAGATACCAGCTTGATTTCCCAAATGCTAGATAGGATGTGGATACTATGTGTGGCATCTCGTGCCAACTTGATTCCATTTTCATATAGAATTTCAATTCGTTTGCCCCTCCATTTGGCAGCCACAAATTATCATCAGCTGGCGGGGCTTTAAAAAAACTGTTGACAATGCAGAGACAGAGGCAGAGACAGCGGCGGAGCAACACCAATTTCATTGACACACTTTTCCGCATTTTCTTCTTTGGGGGGAAAAACAAGAGAAAATGTCGACTGGCAAAATCGATGGCCTGAAAAAGGCGTTCGAGAATAAAGCAAAATAAAAACCGAAAGCAAAGTCGCAGTAAATCGCACAGAATTCGTCCCCCCTCCACTTGTAGCACATCTCCCCTATCCCGCATTTGTCCGGGCTTTCCCTGATTTTCCTGATTTCCCCGATCAACCGAGACCCAAATCCCTTTTTCCCCCGCCCCATCCCACGGATCTGTGGCAGTTGTACGTGTCATTTGGCTGCAGTTTTATTTGCTTGGCCATAATGCAAGTTTATGTTTATGGCCCGGCCCTCGCTTTCCCGCAGTCCCAGCTGCAGGAGCCCCTGACTCTGGAGCCATTGAAGTTAGCTGATCTTGCACTCGACTAAGCAGAAAACACACAAAACACAAAGCCGGGCGAAAAAACAAATGAAACCGGGGCAGGAAGAGCATGCGAATTTTCCAGAGTGAAGTTTGGCTTACCCTGAAAAGCCGGAAAATGGATTTTGCATAAATTACTTGGCTGACTTGAACTAAAATAATGAAATCGATTGTATTAAAAATGGATGTAAAATTATTTATGCATATCCGAGCGAATAGCAGGGGTATTTCCGGTCTTAAATGTAGTTTAACATTTTAATATAATTTTACTTATTTATTTTCACCCATTTTAAAGTCATGAAATACTTTCTTTTAAGCAAATTTTCAAAGCAGAGAAGTAAAAGCCAAGATTAAAATAAATTACATTTGAGCAACAAAGAGGTGTTATTTTCTCAGAAATCCCACAGAATTCTTTCTCTCTTCTTAGAGTAATGATAACGTTTTGTCTAGCTTTCTAATCCTTTAAAACGAAACCAAGGAATCCTGCTAATACCCTTTCACTGGACGAGAACTCTCTCCCGCTGACCCTAATCGCTGGCACATGACGTCGCAGCGACTTTCCCGAGGCTGCAAATTGTTAAAAATAGATTTCGCTCGGCATTTTGCAGGGCAGCTCTGCTATCTAGGAGAAGCTACCCGGCGTTAGCTACTGCTCCTGCTCTGGCTCCTCTCCCGAAGCCAGGACATGGACTTGGGCACGTTTCCATTGCGCTGTCGAGCAATGAAATGTTCTAATACCATTTGCAAGTGGAACGGAAGACAGAGGGGCATTTTCACAGGCTCAATGCTGGCTGCTGGCTGCTCGCAGCTGAATGTTGGTTTTTCGGCTTGCAGACAGACGGGCGACATTTTTTTTCGGGGCAAAATAAAAATGGAAAGTTGGCATAAAAAGTAAACAGCAGATGGGAGAGGTAACTAAACGGAAAGCAAAAGCCAATGCTGCAAAAAAGTGCCAAGGAAAGAAAAACACTGCCATCCAGCGAAACTGCAGCTGGAGGAGAACGGGCAGAAGTTGCTAAATCAGGTCAGGGATTTGGATGGCGGTGAATGCTTCTCTCGGCTCTTGGTGTTGCTTTGTTGCTGCCTGCCTGGCTGCCCATGCCCATTTGTTTCCTTCGTTCTTTCATTTCGCTTTTTGCGGCACAAGCGAGTAAAAAGTGAAATTGAAATTACGTATACGCCGTGGTGCTCCCGATTCGGGCATTAATTTAATTACTGGCAGAGCGGAGAGACAAACAACAAATTGAACTGAAAAGCCGGCCAAATGAGTGCGCCACATATTCAAGTCTCTTTATGCTTTGTGTGTCACTGGAGCAGTCAGTTGGCAGTTGGCTAAAAGGGGGGTTTGCCGGGTGTCGGGCGACGGGTATTTGCCCGACAACCGCAAGCTGCATTTTTAATTGCGCACACGTGCGCGGCAGCCCCGGGAAAACTCAAGGAGGGGCACGGAGCACACAGGAGTGGCAGCAGTAGCAGCTGGGACAAGCCGCTCCAGCTGCAAAAGCTGGCCGGAGGATGCGGCAGCTCTACTTGAACTCATTCGGCGTGGAAATTATGGCACGCTCAAGTTGATTTTGACAGGCAGAAGGCAGCAAGCAGCTAGTATTCCCAGCACAAACTCGAATGCAAACAGGCATACATATACACACAGCCACACGCATCCTTGAATCCTGCAAAGTTTCGCACAAATGTTCGTCACGTTCTGCGGCCTCAGCTTGGTCCGTCGGGTCCTGATCCTCCTCGGCTGCACATAAAATGATTTGTGTGATTGATTTGCTATCGTTTCTGTCCTGACTTTTGCTTCAAACCCCTTGAGTAAATGAAGTTTTTGATTAAAAAAAACTCATTCAGGTTAGTTCTTTTACTGAGGAAAAATGTCAACTAGTTAAATTAAATTCTATCGAAAATGATAGCATAATTTTAAAACATTTTATGTATTTGTGGAAATTATTATCTTATTCAATTATTTTACCATAGCCACAAGCTTATATATTGTCCAAGTGCATCCTTAAAAGTTATAATCAAAGTTGTCTTAGTGCCAAAGCGACTTTGGCAAGTGTGCGTATTAAAATTGTTATAAATCTCTGGTATAGAAAGTTTCTGTTCGCTGATGTTACTTTTTTTCTGTGTGCCATTGGGTGTCGAACTTGCAAATGGCAGGGCAGCTCCTGGCATCTGGCTCCTGACTAGCTCTTAATTGATATGCAATAAACATTGGCCACCGCACGGCAGGCGGGTAGTGGAGGAGTTGAGCTCTGAGGAGTCTCTGACTGGCAGACAAAAGCTGGCACAACTCTGACAAGTAAATCCGGGCAGGACTCCGTTTCCCCCGCACTTGCCATTTTCTCGGCTTCTGTTTTGTTTCCTCTCCGACGCTCCCGTTTCCGTTTCCGCCTTGTCCTTCCCCCGCGCCTGTCAAGGATCCAACTTTAATGCGCTTAGGTCTTCGTCTTTGTCTCAGTCCCAGTTTGTTTCTGTTTCTGTTTCTGGCCTGCTTCAGTTTGTATCCTTCACAGTCCCGTCCGGTGTTCAATGTGCAGCATTTAAGAAAATTGAATTACATTGTATTTTGGTAAATTTAGCAAAAAGCGTTGCTCCCTAATTGAGTTTGTGCGGTTGGGGCTTGAAGGAGCTTGAGGTACACGCATTGCGAATTGTGTAACAAGCAAATTATCCCATAATTAAGAGTCTTCATGAACGAACTTTAATTGCTGATTTAGCAGACAATTGTTTAACCAGATATTCGGTACTTGGTGTCCATGAATCAATAATCTGCCTGTAATGAATTTCTTTGCCTCTTTGTCTGATAAATTTTTATCCTCGAAAACAGGTTACTCGTTTCAATCTGTCTAGATAAAGCATCTGGCAATCAAAGACTTTCAATTAAGGTCTTTCAAGCACTAATTTACTATTTACATAGACAATGCACTCTTAAGTGGGGAAAAAAGCAAGCTGATGGGGGAAAATCAGGCAACTTAAGTAGCTTTCAGAGCTTGGAAGTCTGCGAAAATAGAAATAACTAGAGGCAAGAGGTAATGTTTACTGTAAAGATCTTATTAAAGCCATAAAAAAGTGAGTTTCATAAAGGTAAATATTAATTGAAAGTCACTTTCTACAAAGGTCCATCAGCTTATTGACTGCAAAACCCTTTAACTAAACTAAAAAATCCTAAAACAAAGGCTTTTTACATATCTAAAGTTAACCTTAACTATAGTTTATAAAAGTAAAAGGTTTCATATACATTTTTTTTCACAACTTGATTTTTTACTTACTCATTTTAAAAGACGCAACAATGCTGGTTGTCGAATTGGCTGCCTTAATGGATTGGCTTTGGTTGAATTTTATCACGTATACGCCTAGTCGCGCATGTTGGTTAGCACCAAAATGAAATGGATGAACTTAATAGTAATATAATTCACAGTTTTATTTGAAGTTTGCGTTTCGTTTAGCGCTTCGAATGCTGAATTACACACAAAACAGATAAAACAGATACAATACGAATTTGTTATTGCCGCCAGGACTCACACACACACAGGGACCCAGGACACATGCCATCTGCTGCTGTTTTAGGTGTAGTTGTGTTTGGTATTCCCAGGCTGGGAACTAGGAATTTGTCGCTGCTTTTGATTGCCATTTAAATGTGCATATTTAATTTGTTTATTTATCGGATTGACCAGTGCTTCGCCAAAGAGAACAGCACTCGAAATAGCACACAGATGAACGCACACAGCCTCAATGCAATTTAGGTTTTAATTTTAATTTATTTATGGCATTTATTTAAATTCTACCAAAAATATTTGCCTCCGAGCATTTTTATTCCGGCGCCATTTTGGCTTTGTTGCGATAATTTATGCAAATTATTTTCGAATTTCCCATGTCTGCTCAATGGGCCACTTCGGCATTTCCCTCTGGCCACCATTCCAGCAATTCATTATTGATTGCCAGATGCTGTGTCGAATGGATAAACTTTGACTGAATGGAATGAATCAACTGAAATTGAATTAAATTTCAATGATAATTCCTGTGTAACAACTTTTGAAGCCTTGAGAAAATAAGGGGGGTTTTTTTTTGTAATACTAGAAATGTTATTACAGGCTCACGACCAGAATAAAATAAACCAATAAACATATTTACATTGCGCTACTTAATTAATCCCTTTAACTAATTGAAGATGCGAAAACTTCAACCTATTTTACAAACTTTGATCCCCATTAAAGTTTGAATTACAGCTTGCATATTTAATATATGTACACATATATCAAAGGCATAATAATTCTCGAATAGTTGGTGTAATCTGCCTTTGCGGTAAATGCTTTCACCCTCCTTTACCCCTCTTGGCTGACGCTGCTTTGTGAATGGAATTCGTATGCAATTAATAAATTGCTGGCTGGTTTCTTACGGAATTTATGCAGCGCACAATAAATATTAACGCCCGTTTCGCTGCCACTAAAGAGATTAATACAAAACGGTTGATTAAATTTTTATGGCCACAGTTTATTTATATACACCGTGCCGGCATTATCATTTTTCCACTAGTTATTAACTACTTTTGCCAGTGGGAAAGAAACTGCCAATTAAAGAACAAGTCAGCATGATGCGAGTTTCTCGACTTTTAATTATCCTCTTCTCTCTACGGAAATGTAGGAAACTTTTCCAAGCAAAAAATTAGCAAGCATGTTTAACTTTTAGTTGTTATCTGTTCGAGGATATAACTGTGAAAAAGTTTGTGATAATCCTAAAAGTTTGGGATTAATCTAGAGTTTTTTCAAGATATTAAAAGCTTAACAGTATTCTTTGTATAATGAAGTTTATGTTTTAATTTTCCGCTTTTAAAATTAATTAATACGGAAAATGGCAAAACGAGTTTTATGGTATATGAAGCTTTTTAATATTATTTAAAACTATTTAATATCAAAAAATAAACAAACTAAAATTAAAATCGTATTTTTTATATATTTATATCTATAGCTACTAATATATATCTTCCAAAAAGGACTTCAATATCCGTCTATCTTTTAACCAATACGCCCTTCTGCTAGGACGATACCCTCGTCAGAAAGTCCAAATGTCATTTTAATTAAAAATAAAAATGGCCGCTTCAATAACTCCCGATTTGTTAATGAAAATGGCAGCCGGAATAATTATATTACCGCCATTCAGATTGGCCACGTTCCAGTGAACCGGTTGCTGGCCTTCCCCATTTGAGTTTTGTTCAATTTAAAATAATTAAAATGCCGCATATAAGCCTCGGCCGAAATCCTTTTGCAAGTTGGCGAACCTTTTTTGCGGACCGCAGATATTATAATGCTCATGCCCCTGGAATCCCCGTCCGATTTTCGGCCCTCTCCTCAAAATTTGGAGGCACTTGAGCGTTGCTAAGCAAGATTTATGAGTCGCCCGAGGGGGGGCGTGGCATTGGCATAGCCCTTGGTCCATGGTCCATGGCTCCTGGACTGGTTATTTATTTTTTTTTTCGGTATTTGCCAAGGTCTTTCGCTTTGTTTGCCATCTTTTGCGGCCTCCGAGAAGTTTTCAACTGGCCGCAAGGCCGGTCTCTCAGCCTCTGAAGCCGTCCTGCTCATCTGTGAGGTCTGTGGCATTTAAATAATTTAAAACATTTGAGCATTTTGGGGCAATTTGGTTAATGGGCTGTGGAGGGAAAGGGTTCGACTCTAAAGTCCCACAGCATCAGCTCGTAAATAACGCCGAGCACCCGATAACCATTGGGCTGTCTCAGCTGCCTAATGTGCACTATCAGGATAAGGATATCGAGGGAATACGCCAAATAAGGGTGAAAACCTGGCTTAAAGGGGCGCCAGCTTAAAGGACATGTGACGCAGGTTCGTGCAACGCTCGCTTATGTGGCGCACTAGTTCAAGGACTCGTCCAACTCGCTCCAACCCAATTACGCAAAAACTACACAAGCAAACTCTTGCACACATACGGGTACACAGAGAAGAAACTTAATAAAAATATACAAAATATATTAATAATAAAAATATTAATATTTTAAGTTAGTAATTTCTATTCCAAATCATAACAATTTAAAATGTGTTTTTGGACAAACTTTGGAAAATGTTTTAAGATCTTAAAACGAGTATATAACTTTTATGAATATTTAAGGAGTTATTGTAAGCTTCCAAAATGAAAATACTTATCATTTATCATTATTTTCAACAAGTTCTCCAAGAGTTAAGCATTCAAATCCAACTGGTAAGACCTATGAATGCTGCACAATTAATAAACTCAAATCACTTTGTCAAACTGCTGCTGTTTTCGCTTTCGCGCCGTGTACGGTCTTGTAATAAATGGCATCCAACCTGCCCTGGCAACCTTTAACCCTAAAAATGCGACCCGACCTAGAAATGTGTGTTTGCTCGCCGAACCGCACCGCGCTCCCCAGTCATCACTCAGTCACTGGGTGGCTCTCATAGGGGTTCCATTTTTTCCACAAAGCTGCTATGGCGTGCCATGAATTTTTGTTTATGCTTGCGGGCGGAAGATAAACACTCGCACACTCAAACACTCACTCACACTCGGTTCGCGAAAATATGTGCCAATGCCAGGGGATTGAGGAGGTGAATGGAATGGGTGCATGTCCTGGCTGACTGACAACGACATAACCACAAGCAGCTAGCGCAGCTTATGCAAACGTTCAAGGACACGTGGATGCATTGGTGTTTGTGAGGCGCCTGCAGGTTATGCAACACTTTTTGTGTTTGCCATGCCTCTGCCGTGTCCGTGTGTGCGTTTAAGTGTGCGAGTATTGGCCCAAAACTCTGGCTTTAATTGCTGGCAATTTGTCAGGCTAATTTGCCAAATTTGACACCTCAGCGAGCGCACACACTTGCGAATTAATGACGTCAAAAATAAAACTCGCTCGGCTCTCTCTCTCTCTCTCTCTTGCTCACTCCCCTGTGTATGTGTTTTGCAGCAGCAGCTGTGTGCGTGCCTGTGTCTGTGTGTGCGTGCTGTTTTCACTTTCACTTTCATTGATTTTCAAGCATCGCAAATGAATGCTGGTCACACACTCAACACCCGACTCTGGGACTCACTTGTATTCGCACTGGCTCAAAATTGAATTAAGCTCATTCAACTTTTTTTAAAACTATTTTCTGTGTTAACTTTTCGCGGGAATTATTTGTGATATATTTATTTGTATTTTTGCTGAACACTTTCTCTGGCTTTTCTCGGTCGCGTAGCTTCTTTGCGTGGCATCATTGGCGCTCCGCAATTTTCAACGTCTAACTGCGCTCGCTGCCAAAACTGAACTGAGCTTCGGTCCCAAAGCGTTGCCATGGCCAAAAGCAGCAGCAGTGGCAGCAGCAAAATGCTGCTAAAACTGCCTGTTAAATACTGGTAACAGTTTAGCAGTTGGCGGCGCAGGCGCAGTTCCCAAAAATAAATTTACTCCCCGCCGCCTCGCCCGCTTTTATGTCACAGTTCGCATCACACTGTTGCGTCCTGTTTTTCACGCTCTCTCTCTCTGCTTGTGGCCTTTGTTTACATTGCTCGGCTCGGCTGTTCAGGCATTTTCGTATTTTCGTCCTGCCTTCTATAAATAAAGTTACGCATACGCCACGTGGGCCTGGCAAGGTGAGAAGCCATCAATCGCGTGATTGATTGTGGATATCTATTTTTGGCGTTAACTGAAATTTCTAATGGCTACTAAGACAGGCCACGTGTCGAGCAGATTAGTTTATAAAAGTCAATTTTAATATAGTTACTTGGCAGGACCTATGGGAAAATGTTTTATAATATATTTGTAATGCTATTTGTACGGAGCTTTACTTTAGTCCAATATCGCTGACATTACTTGACCTTTGTAAGACCTTAGAAATAAACTTAAGAGGCTGTTGGATTTCTTCTGTCTCAGTTTAAAGCAACAGCAAGGGTGTAAACTGGTTAATTTAATAGCCAAGATATTTATGGCAATGCTTTTTGTTGATATTAAAATTTTACATGGCCTGCTTAAGCTGTCTCATGAAAATTACTTTGTAAAACTTAAATTACCAAAAATTACGCATACGACATGTTCGCCCATTTATATTATAAATTAAGGCAGAATATCTAAAAGCTTTATTTTTACACTTCCAGCACTAACCGACAACCTCCAATTATTAGTTGGCCACGTGTCGAGCAAATGACTTTGCACAACTCAATTTAAAGACCACAAATGCCCCAAAGAATAACTCGAACACGTTTTTGTCCGTAACATAGTGTGCCTGTGTGTGTGCCTGTGTGTGTATTTGTGGTAGCAATTTTCACGCTGATTGGTTTCCAGTCATTTTTCCTTGTTGCCTTCGCCTTTCATTTATTTTGTTCTTTTGGCCATACACAAAAAGTCAACGAGCCAAAGCCAAATGTCAACCAGCCCACTCCCCTTTCCGCGTCCTTTGTGCCTTCAAGGACCTTCGGAATTTAATAATGAAATAGCCCCGTCCTTGGCCTGCGAACAATTTTCAATTTTCCACTTTCGGCTTTCGGCGTTTTGGCCTTCGGGCGAAAATGCGTTTGATAAATTTCCCAACGAAATCGAAACAGGGCAAACTTTTATTTTCCCTTTTTTTTTGGCCACGCGTAGCATCACGCACTTGCAATTGGCAGTGGCAATTACTGCAGTAGCAGTGGCAGTGGCAGCGGCAGCTCCTCAAATAATCATTTGCTATAACTAATTAAAAGTTTTTCTTGTGCGGGAATAATTTCATTACATGACCAACTTTTTTTCTGACGCAGTTTCGCTGCGCTCGATCGATTACACCACCATACAGAGTTGGATGTGCGCCATAAATAACAACAAGTTAGGCACTTTCCCTATTAGGGGCGTGTCCCTGTGCCTCCGGGACGAGAGTTAAAGTTAAGGATGTGACTGGGAAGGGATGCGAGAAAGGCTCGGCTGCGATTTTTATCAATGAACGATGGGCGACGAGACAAAGTTATTATGCGAAATCAGTGGGCGGCTCGTCCTTGTTTGTCCTTGCGTGGGAAGATTGTTGCTGCTCGCTCTGGGATGTGTGTCATTTGGCCTGGGATATGGGCTTGGTTTCTTAATGTCGTTCGCAGGAGTTGGGGCAAATTGAATGCCATCTTAAGAAGTTGGTGGCATGTGATCAGGGACTTAAAGGCATTATTTGGACTCTGAATAAATTGTTATTTTGCTTTCTAAAAATAAAGAGTTAAGAGTTGAACTTTAAAAAGAATTTGGGTTGGAAAAAGACAGGAAAACCTTGTTAACTTGGTATGAAAATACAGTTGTAGATTAATTCTCAAGGTACAACATATGCTGTATCATCGTTCGCCCCGAATAGTCCTGGGGATCTAAGTGTGCCATCGCGGAAGTCCCGCCTGGCTGTCACTCAGCTTGCGGCCATATCGTTCTCGATTGAGTGCCAATCGAGGGGAGATACTGGCTGCCTGGGAGCTTTTACGACATCGGCATCGAGTACCCGGGCTAATCATAACCGATACCCGATAACTATGGCCATCTATACGCATCCGGCAGTTTGCAAGTTTTCCTTTTTGTGTTTCTGGCGGGTGTCGAGCGTTCGCTGCTCATTAGAGGGAAACTGTTGCCGGCCTTCTGCCTTCTTCGTCCTGCTCGAGCTGGTTCTTTTATGGCGGGGATGTGTGCCTGGCGCACTTACACTTAATTGAATCCTGCGGGCGTGGTGGATGCTGTCGAGCGGACTATGTGGTAGACGGCGGAGGGAGGGTCCCTTGGTGAGCCCCTGAGGCATGCGGCATGCCAAAGCGTTTAGCAACCAAATACGCTTTGCTCCCGATTTGCCACCCATGCCATGCCGCCCGTCTTTGTTGTTGTTAGGGCTCACATCCTGCCGCCGGCGCATCCTGCTTCGGCTCTTGCTCCTCTTCCATCCACATCGACATTCTCATCCGCATCCGAGTCCACATCTACAGCCACATCCACATTCGTTGGCAGTGAACCTGGGAGGAAGGAGCCACTGAGCGAGCGAGCGAGCGGCTCTAATTCAATTAGCAAGTTCAGCGCCAAAGCGGCAAATGGCTCGTTAAACACGCTGTGTTTTTGTAGTCCCCGGCAAACCCCGCACTTCACCCTTCTCTAAAATACACTCCAATTAATTTAGATTACTTTACAATTATTAGATCACAACAAATATATTTTATTATGTTAAAGATTATGATTGATGCAGTGTCCTTATTGGCTAACATTTTAAAACAATTACTAATAAAAATATGTAATTCATTAATTAATGGTATAGGAATAAAGTATTTAAAATTGTTCTTAAATATTCACAGTAGCTGATAAAGTGTTGATTATTTTGATTATTTTTTTATGAGAAGAGTTGAGGTACTAAAATGTTCTATCATATTCTTTCTAACAAAAATTCTTTTAAAACAACTTTAATAATTCTTTAATTTTATACAAAAAAATATTTTTTATTAATGAATTAAAATAATATTGAAGAATATATGCTAATATAAATACATTTAAATTTGTATTGCGAATCAATTTATAAATTTACCTTGTTCATACTTCATTTTCTTATTTACTTTTTAAATATTATCTGGCCTTTAAATTGTTTAAATGTTTTAATATATTTAAATTTTATATTTTCCTTCAAGTGTGCTCACTTTGCATTTAGCACCTCCCAGTTCTCTGCGTCTCCTGTCGCCGGGGCTTGTCCTCCTGCTTAATGACACTTCACTTGTGTTTGCTCGTTTTTTAAACATGTTTTATTACATTTTTTGCGCTAGCTGGCGCCATTTTCATGGCACCGGAAGTTGCCGCACACAGCCACATACAACACTGCAGCCATATAGTGTGTGTGTGTGTGGCAAAATGAGCAATGAGTAAATGAGCAAAATGTTATAAATTGCCAAAAGTCCGCTTTAGTCCGATCCCTTTGCCATTCTCCTTCCCCTCGATGATTTCCGGAGCTTTTCTTTGTTCTCAGCGGTTTTTTGTTCCCCATTTGGTTTGCAGATAATGCACGGGCAAATCTTGTTCACTTTGGTCAGTGACCAAAAGCAAATGTGGACGCTGTGGGAATCGAGCCAGTGTGGCAACTCGATAAGTTTTATCGCCCACATTTTTCAAACAACCGGGCTGTTAAAGTTACGATCCTGCCAAATCGCTAATATGCGATAGGACCTAAAAAAGACCACAAAAATTCGCGAACAGGATTTTTGCAAGCCACGGTCACATTGGATCCCCTCACTTCCGTTCTCTTTCTCACAAGGCGTCCCCGAGTTCGGATTAATTTTTGTCGATCCTAAATCCGCAAGCATCGTGTCGATCCGACAGTATTTGTTAAAGCGAATCATACCCATATTAAGTAAATTTAGTGCTCTAACGTATATTGGTAAGCTTGTGTGAATAATCGATCGCCGGAGTGCTAATTTTGCCTTTTCAAAACAGCGTCAGCCGTATCGGCAGAGTCGTCCAAGCGACCGGCATTGTTTTTGCCAGCAATTGCCCACCACGTGAGGTGGCAGTCATTTGTGGCATTCATCGTTGGCATTGTCTGTGGCTTCTCAGCGGGATCAACGCCACGTGTCATCGGAGCATTCGCACGCACAGCGTGGGGCTGCGCTTCCCATTTCGGCGGCCATACACGTGCCGATTGCGGTGATCCTCGATTTGGATTTTCTTTACCGCCTCGCTAACGTGTCACCGTTCCCTCACACGGCGCGCATATTGGATCGCCGTTCCCTCACACGGTGCACATATTGGATCACCGTGCTTTTCTTCGGCGCACCTATTGGATCGCCGTGTGTCTTTTTCGTGGCCACATCGTTCTTTGCCACATCGCCGTGCATCTTTGCCACATCGCGTGCGCTCTGCCGCATCCACACCTTGGCGGGCTGGTCTCGTTCCGCTCACGCCTCACGCAAGGGATTGCGGCCATCCCTGTCGCACATAGTGCGTGTCATCTTCATCAGCGCGAACGACGGAAGTAGCATTACATATCCGTATTGAGAGCTGGTGGCTGATCCGGCCCACACTCTGCTCCAGGAGCGGATAAACATGAATGATAGTGTCTAAAATATAATTAATTTTGCATATAGGAGCTTTTGATTTAAGAATTCGTACTTATAAACCTTTTCGGTCGTAATTTAGCAATTTTTTTTTTGGGAGATTTGGCAATTATAATATCGTTTTGTCCCTCAAATAACTT